CACAGTGTGAAGGAGGCAGAGTGGGCCGCTGGAAGTGGATGGGACCCCCTCCCCTGCCTGGACAGGTAAAACACCAGGGTATCTATCTGTAATTGAGAGGAGCAGGTGCAACCTTCTGCTAGGGCACCAGCTCTATAAGTGACAGGCTGCCTGTCATTTGGGTAAGGAGGGAGAGTGACAGGGGACATGAAGAGAAGGGGCAAGGGGACATGGATGGGAGGGGAACAGGAATAGTAGGGGAACATGTAAAGAAGGGGCTAGGGGATATGGAGGGAGGAAGACAGGAATTACAGGGGAACATGAGCTCTATGAGTGACAGGCTGCCTGTCATTTGGGAAAGGAGGGAGAGAGAGAGGGGACATGGAGAGAAGGGGCTGTAACTCGCAATACGGGATACTGGCGAACTGCAGGCTCTGCCGGGAGTGGTAACAACGTTGGCCATAGCCAATGCTAGCTACGAACTAATATCTGAAAAAGAGGGCAGTAAGTGGGAAAAAAGTGCAAAAATACAGTGCAGGCTAATCACCCCGAAATAGGGATCACTCCCAGTCCCAATAGCAATACAAACAAAATAAGTATAGTTTAAAACCATATAGTTAAAAAACATATACCACCGGGGGCGCCACAGTCACAAACATGTGAATATATTTACCACATAATATTCATGGGTATTCATGTAAAGAGATAAAAACAGAAATATAGTGAAGTATTTAATAACAGGTAAAACAGAATAATAAAAAACAAGTACACTCACAAATGTAGTTGCACAACAAGGACGTATGTCTTAATTGTGCTAAAAAGGCTTGTCAGCCCTTTCCTGGGCTAAAGTCCCCCTCTCACTGCAGGATCCAAGTTTTCAAAGTTCCAATGACTCAGTAGTAATTCAAGCTGGATCTAATCCGAAAAATACTGGGAATGCTGGGGACACTGGCAAGCTTTTCACCGCTCAACGCGTTTCGTCCGATCGACTTTTTCAAGAGCTATGTTTTTCTTCTCCTTCCGGCTTTTTAAATAATTAAGTTCGCGCCGCTTTCGGTATTGCGCGCATGCGTATTACGGTAAAACTTTACCGCGCATGCGCGCGCATCCAGCATGGAACGCAAAATAACTTTATTGATGCTTTATGCCGGCGGACACACTTCTGTGCGTGACCGTTTGGTCCGACGGAGTGATATAAGGGCACTTAAAGGATAAAAAAATAGAATAATAATATGGTGCGAACCTGGTGCTCTGGAGAAGATATATTGATGACGTCCTTATTATTTGGGAAGGAGATAAGTTACTTTTAGAAGAATTTTTATTATACATCAACAATAATACTTATGGATTACGTTTTACGGCTGAAACTCAGATGGAGAGCATCAACTTTTTAGATCTTTCTTTCTTTGTATCATCAGGAGTAGTCTGCAACAAAACATTTTTTAAGCCAACTGATGGAAACAGCTTCATAGAATATTCCAGCTGTCACCATCCTAATTGGCTTAACAATATACCGAAGGGACAACAAACGAGACTTCTTAGAAATTGTACGAATAAAAGTGATTTTAAAGAACAAGTTAAAATGTTAAACAAAAAATTCGAAAAAAGACATTATCCATCACAACTTCTGATTAATTCAGAGAAACAGATAGAAAACAAAGATAGAAATAAACTTTTAAAAAATAAAAAGTTCCATAAGAAAAATAAGAAAGATTACAGTATATCCTTTTTAACTAGATATAATAATAAAGCTCATCTTGTAGAGAAAACTATTAAGAAATTTTGGCCCATTTTAAAACAAGATCAATTTTTAAAGAACATTTTACCAAGTAAACCCCAGATTATCTATAAAAAGACTCAGAATTTTAAATCCATTTTAGCTCCAAGCGCTTTACCTCGTATCAAACCTACTAAAGAAAAAGCAATTTCGGGTAATAATTTTCTGAAAGAGAAACCAAAAAGCTTTTTTAAATGTGGGCAGTGCAGTACATGCAGATTCCAAAAACAGAAAACAATGGAATTTACATGCACTGCCACTAAAGAAGTTTTTAAAATAAAGAATTTTATAAATTGTCAAACAAAAAATGTAATCTATTTACTTGAATGCAAATGTGGCATACAATATGTAGGTCGCACAATAAGAAAACTCCACATTAGAATCTTGGAACACTTTAATGGTATAAAAAGAGGAAACATAAAACATAGTGTTCCTAAACATTGTATAAACTGTACCCATTTTAGTTTCCAAGATTTTAGATGTATAGGGATAGATACGATAACCCCACATTGGAGAGGGGGCGACACAGAAAAAGCGCTAGCTATGAAGGAAACAGAGTGGATTCATAGACTCAAAACCACTTCTCCAAGAGGTCTAAATGTTGATCTGGACCTACTAGTGTTTATGGATTGAATAAAGTTTTTTAGGGCTCTAGTAGTCCTATTTTATTTTATTCAATTCACTTAATAAATGTATTTAATATTCGTCTAATAAATTGTTTTAACATTTATATGTTTCCAGAGAATGATTATGAATTTTTATTCTATTAGTATTTTTTAATCTTTATTAATTTTTTATTAATTAATCTGTTATTATTTTTATTAATTTTCCATTATTTTTTGATGAATTAATTTTTTAATGAATTAATTTTTTAATTAATTCATTTATTATCTGATGATGTTTTCGCCATGTCCCTTATTTGAATTAAATAAACTGATAAACTGATAATCATTATAAACTGAAAATTATTATATAAGAATTTGATTATCATTATATATGATTTTTACAAATTTTTTGGGACAGCTATTCATATAGTTTGTTATATATCGATAAAGCAATCTCTCTCTGTATAATATTGCACAAAATGTAATAACATGTCTCTACCTTTTTCCATTTTTTCTGTAGTAGGTCTAATGTTCAATTTGAACTGTAGATGTGTAACTATATTTTTTGTATGTCAAACTCAAAGATGTGATGTATCTGAAATATATGTTTTTTATTTTCATCACAAGGTTTGGTTTTATATGCTACTTGGTATTATTCTATTTTTTTATCCTTTAAGTGCCCTTATATCACTCCGTCGGACCAAACGGTCACGCACGGAAGTGTGTCCGCCGGCATAAAGCATCAATAAAGTTATTTTGCTTTCCAAGCTGGATGCGCGCGTATGCGCGGTAAAGTTTTACCGTAATACGCATGCGCGCAATACCGAAAGCGGCGCGAACTTAATTATTTAAAAAGCCGGAAGGAGAAGAAAAACATAGCTCTTGAAAAAGTCGATCGGACGAAACGCGTTGAGCGGTGAAAAGCTTGCCAGTGTCCCCAGCATTCCCAGTATTTTTTTGTATAGCTACGAACTAAGACTACTCTCACCACTTCTGCGTGCTAGGATATACCTAGCGACACCAAAACGGAACTACGAGTCCGAACCCAGCGGCAGCCAGTGACCCGCCTTTCCTATAATTGCTTCAATTCCCCGCCCAAACGACCAGGTAACGCATTGTCATGTGGCTCCCGCCATAGACAGTTGAGAACAACCTGTCCCGACGCAACTTCTGTTTGCCTCTGGTTAAGTCAATCTGATTGCTCCAGACGTTCTATTCTGTATGATACTACCGTTTCTCCCCGTCGTATACCTACACTGCCTTCAAAGTGTGAACAGCATATTCACCTTGCTCGGGGACCTACGAGTCTCCCTATGGAAAGTTGCGCGGAGATCTGCATACCTCATTGTATTGTATAATGTGTACCTATAAACAACAGAAACCTGCGAGTTTCACACTGTTTACCAACTGCTTTCCACATTTTGAAAATACCTTAATAAAAAGATTTACAAAAAAAATGGAGAGAAGGGGCAAGGGGACATGGATGGGAGGGGGACAGGAATAGTAGGGGAACATGTAAAGAAGGGGCATGGGGACATGGAGGGGAGGGGGGCAGGAATAGTAATAAAATGAAATGGGTAGGGGGACATGGATAGGGGGTGGATAGAAGGGGACATGGAGAGAAGGGGGACATTGATGGAATTGGTAAGGGGCATGAATGGAAGGATTAAGGGGACAGGAGGGGAACAAGGATGGAAGGGGTAAGGGGAGATAGATGCAAGAGGTAGGGGGACATGGAGAGGAGGGAAACATGGATGGAAGGGGTTAGGGGACAAGGAAGGGACAGAGACATGGATGAAAAGGGTAGGAGATGGAGGGGATGGGGGAGAGACATGGATGGAAAGGGTAAGGGGACATGGATGTAAGGGGGGAGGGAGACATGAGTGGAAGGGAGGTTGTCACCCTCCCACACACACTATCACCATCAGGGCCATTTGAAGGAATTTGGGGGCCCCAAGGAAAATGGACATGGAGGCCCCCCCAGCGCAGTGCACCACCCCAGTGCAAATACTGCTGTTGCATAAAATGTGCATAAATAAAAAATGTTTACAGTGCAAATACTGCTGTTGCATATAATGTGCATAAAATTTGAACATTTGCAACAATTGAACATTTGCAAAAAACACCACTGTACCATAAAATCAAATATACTTTAAAAAAGTGCAGAATAACTAAATCCAACATACTTAAAACACACACTCACACTCACATTAACATTTTTCAGTTCTCACAAACGTGCAAATTATCTAAAACTGCTCCCCCTGTCCTTCTTACTCTCCCTCCCCCTCCCTGTGTCCTTCTTACTCCCCTCCCTCCTCCCTGTGTCCTTTTTACTCCCCCCCGTGTTCTTCTTACACCCCTCCCCCATCCTTCTTACTCCCCTCCCCCCATCCTTCTTACTCCCCTCCCCCCATCCTTCGTCCTTCTTACTCCCCCCTCTCCCTCCCTGTGTCCTTTCTTACTCCTGTTTTTACTCCCCCTCCCTATGTTTTTTTTACTCCCCCTATGTTTTTTTACTCACCCCCTCCCTCCCTATGTTCTTCTCAGTTCTCACCTACCCTTCCCTGTAGCGTGGCCGAGCTACTCTTCCTCCTGGCTGTCAGTCCGGCTGGGTACCACGCAGTAACAGGAGATTCAGTTTCCTGTTCCTGGCTGGACTGAAAGGAATTGAGCACTCAGTGTGCACTTCCTGTCAGTCCAGCGGGGAACAGGAAACTGAGTCTTCTGTACCACGCGGTACCCAGCCGGACTGACAGCAAGGAGAAAGAGGAGCTCGGCCACGCTACAGGGAAGTGGAGGTGACGAGAGAGGAATGCTGCAGCCGCCTGAGGCTCTCTTTAGAGCGCTCAGACGGCTGCAGCCTTATAGGAAGCACCGACTCTGCTTGGGGCCCCGGGCCAGCTTGGGGCCCCAAGCAATTGCTTGGTTTGCCTGCCCAGTAGCGACGGGCCTGATCACCATCCTGCATGCACTGTCACCCTGCCACCCTCCCAAAATATCACCCCCCACACACTGTCACCCTTCCACACTATAATCCCCACACGCTGTGACCATCCCACACACACTGTCATCATCACTCACACTGTCTTCATACCAACACAGAGGCAGAGAGAGGGCACAGAGAGGCTAAGGGCAGAGAGGCTGGTGGCAGAGATATTGAAAGTGAGGCTGGTGGCAGGGAGCTGGCAATGGCAGACTGTTTGAGAGCACATGGCACTAGCAGGCTTTTTGGAAGCACATGTAATTCATTGCCATGATACACATTTTATGAATTTAATGCTCTTTGGCATGATATACCAAGTTTATGCATTTAATGTTAATTGGCATGATATCCCAAGTTTATGCATGTATTGCTGTCTGGCATGATATACAAGATTTATGCATTACTGCTCATTCTCATGATATACAAGGTTTATGTATTTAGTGCACATTAGCTTGAAATACAAGATTTATGCATTTAATGCATTAATAGCATTTCCATTGCTCCCCATGGTATATAAGTGTATCTAATGTGCATGTGTGACTGTGTACATTACATATGAAAGTCAGAACTGGTTACTAAAAAATTTGAATCCCACTACTGCATATAAAGGATAAGGCACCAATTTGGGCAGGTATAACATGTCCACTAGGGTTTTGGTCTAGTGTGCCTCTTAAGAAATGGGCTGTTTGTCGCTTATTGTAAATTGGACACATTTGTGGCATGAACACTGTCTGATTGGAATGCACTCCTTGAATGATTCTCCGGTTTACCATCTTGTACCACCAACAGGAAGAGATGGACGTTTGTGAGCTGGAATATTTAAATAAAGACTGCTTCTTATATTGGATTACCAGATGACTTCAACAACTATAGAGGGGAGGACAGAGCTGCGAGTCTGATATGAGATTGATTTTTCTTCACATTATACCAGGAACAATTTCTACCCAATTGTGTATTTAAGTAAATTTACTTTTAATAGTAAAAGACTTTTATTGAAACACTATAGATTTATATGGTATTATTTGTCGTGATATTTTATTACATATATTTTTGCCTGTAGATTTTAAGTATAGTGATGGGATTTATACCATTTTATGAACTGTGATATAAATTTTGCCTATGTCAAAATGTGACCTTGGCTACATCCAAGCCAGAGTCATTAAAGTGTTGAAAGCAAGTGCCTTTGAAGAAGACTCTGACTAAATGCCTTCAATTGTCTACTTTCAAAAATCTTTACTCCTCTTTTTGATGTAATTTAAAAGCATTGCTTTTTTTTAATAACACTTAAAATGCCGTTATTTAGGGCAAATTATAACATAGCAATTGTAAAATACCATGAAATTGGTAGGGGGACATGGTAATTGTAAAATAATTATATATACTATAAGGAGTCAGAGTAGGTGGTACCATAAAGTGAGGATTTGGAGTCTAAGATTTTGTGTACTGACTCTAGACCCTGCAAAATACCCTTGTCCAGGGCAGGGGATAATCAGTACATTGTCACGTACTCTTGAGCATAACCCATCTGCACTTTATTGGACCAAACAGGAAAAAGGGTTTAGTCATTTATGGAGACGTGTGACGATTAGGTAATTAGAGTGGCCCATACCTGCTCAGAGAGGAACTTCCAGTGCCAACTGACTTGTGCAACAGAACAAAGTTCTTGGGGATTGAGGAAAGAGAAGATGTAGAGAGAGATAAACCGAGGTAGCACTGTAGTGAAATCCAATTTAGTTACAGGAACCTCTTCAGTGAACCAGTCTTGAACAAACCTATATGAGTAGGGAAAAATATTAACAACAAGCCAATTGATATATCATATCCATAACTCTAGATTTAAAGTATGCAGACGATTTTAGGTCAAATAACTTTAAGTAGATTGCTCTGCATCTTTGTATTTTTTAAACGTATTTTCTACAATGTAAATGTCCATATTCTAATTGTTTGACTTCTCACCTGCTCCACACTCTGCTTCTCCTAGAGCCATGCCTCTCTCAGCCAGTGGTCTGGCCCTGTACTGCTACTAATCCTGGCTCTTGTACAAGAAGGGAAGGGCCAGGGAGCGGTGCCTAATGGACCCATGTAAGAAGTCAAACTGGTAGAAAACAGTTTGATTACTCACATTAGGTGGGTGCTATGGCTCTCCTTGCAACATAACCACTACAATGAGCCCTGGATTTTCCTGGGCTGAAGTGAATTGTAAAGGGACTTGCTAAATACTCTAAAGATAAAATAAAATGAAGCATCTCTTTAAAAGAAGGTAAAAGTATATGTGATTTTCAATGTTTTACACCTATTGTCATCACCACTACACTAAAAATGGGCCAAACAGACAGGTCAGATCTTTTAAAAATATACCCATTTTGTCTGTCACAATCTCACAGTAGGACTCATGATCGTATCGTAATAATGTAATATAGTATAATTATCATTTATATAATGCCATCATATTCCACAGCACTTTACAATTATAGAATGGAGATATCAACAATATGATATAACAAGTCATTCCCATACAGAATATTTACAGAGACAAGAGATGAAGGCCCTGCTCAGATGACTAAATGGTTAAATGGTTGAGATTTCTGAAAAAAAGAAACCTCTATTTAGAGAATAAGTAATGGCAAAGCTGAAAAGACCGCTCAACTGGAAAAAATAGAGACTCCACTAACAGGTCTCTAATAATGCAAACATTAAAAAATTATTAAATAAAAATTTAATAGAATATCCAGGAGTAGTCTGTAGCTATGAACTGGTAATTTTCCATAAACTTAGAGAGAAAATTATTCAATAAAATGGAGCAATAACATCCAATGATTGCTTCTTCTATAAAAGAAACTTAGATTAGTAGATTCCAATATATAACAGTCCTTGATTTAGAATAAAAATGAAAAATAGATAACAGTCTGTTGAAGGTCTATATATGTAAGCTAATTCAGTTCACTCCAGTTATAGATGAACTGGTATCTAGATACTGAATTAGTTGTTTAGTATAGTACAATATAGCAATTTGTATGGTCCTTATAATTGAAATATTGTATCTTTTACCACACTGATACACCTGTAATAACTGACAAACTGTATTAAATAGCTTACAGTTGCAAATGACACTTTACTCCTAGTGATAGGAAATAAAGTTGAAAATCCAAGTGCTAAATGAAATAATTTATTATTGAATAAACTTTGTTAAAAAAAAGAGTAAAATGATACACTCACATTGTATCAAATACATGCTGGATATTTAGCAGGGGAATGAAGTGAGCAGCTGAAGAAAGTAGGTGTACTGTCCGATCGTCACTTAGATGAATGGATCGGCAATATTCTTAGCCGCGTGCTTTTCACCCGGTTTCTCTCCTGCGTTCCAGATAGAAGTCGGCAGTATTTCGGTAGATGCCGGAAAGCAATGGAGTGTCGTTCCGAATGTCGTCCTAACGCGTTTCGTGAGACTTCTCTCACTTCATCAGAGGATGCTTGATAGGACAGTCTCGTGGATTTAAATAGCCAGCAAATTGACTGGCTTGTATTAACTCTTTGTGGTTCAGTTCATAGCACTGGATTCATTAGTATAAACCATACATAATCATGGATAATAAACAATAAAATTTAAACATACAATTAATGAATTTGCAATATTAGTATTATTATTATTATTGCCATTTATATAGCGCCAACAGATTCCGTAGCACTTTACAATATTATGAAAGGGGATTTAACTATAAATAGGACAATTACAAATAAACTTACAGGAACAATAGGTTGAAGAGGACCCTGCTCAATCGAGCTTACATTCTATAGGAGGTGGGGTGTAAAACACATTAGGACAGGAATGTGCAATCAAATAAGGTGGGCTGCCCTTTAGGAGAGGGCAAGAGACGGGTATGTGAGGTAGGGGTTAGTCATGGAGGCCATAAGCTTTCCTAAAGAGATGGGTTTTAAGGCACTTCTTAAAAGATGCAAGACTAGGGCAGAGTCGGATGGCGGTAGGCAGGCTATTCCATAGGAAGGGAGCCGCCCGCGAGAAGTCCTGCAAGCGCGAGTTGGCCGTACGGGTGCGGACAACGGACAGGAGGTGGTCACGGGCAGAGCGGAGAGACCGAGAAGGGACATACCTGTGGATCAGTGAGGAGATATAAGAGGGGCTAGAGTTGTTCAGTGCTTTATAGGTGTGAGTTAGTGCCTTGAATTGACTCCTACAGCACACAGGAAGCCAATGTAAGGACTGGCAGAGGGGTGAGGTGTGAGAGAACCGACTAGAGAGGAAAATCAGTCTAGCAGCAGCATTCATTACAGACTGTAGGGGTGCAGTACGGCTTTTGGGAAGACCAAGCAGGAGAGGGTTACAATAATCCATGCGTGAAATTATTAGAGCATGGACAAGCTCCTTGGTAGTATCTGGTGCAAGAAAGGGGCGGATGCGGGCTATGTTTTTAAGATGGAATCTACAGGATTTGGCAACATGCTGGATGTGAGGCTCAAAGGTGAGACCAGAGTCAAGTATGATGCCAAGACAGCGCGCTTGCAAGGATGGGCTGATGTTGGTACCACAAACTTGAAGGGAGAGCGAAAGAGGAGGATCAGTATTAGGAGGAGGAAAGACAAGGAGCTCAGTTTTTGAGAGATTGAGTTTCAGAAAGCGGGAGGACATCCAGTCAGAGATGGAAGAAAGGCAAGCAGTGACACGTTGCAGGACAGCAGAGGAGAGGTCCGGGGAGGAGAGATATAGCTGGGTGT